AACCTCTTGATGTATAAATACATGTTTCAAAATTCTACTAAAACAATATTGATACAGTTTTAAATCATCGAAGAGATAACCGCAACAAAGTAAAGCGGCGGGTACATTGCTCCTTTTGCAATCTCGGCAACGTGTAACTTTGTAGCGCAATTTCTGACCAGTCGTACCAGGATGGCATAAAACATGAGAAGTTAAAAGACCATTTTCACCTCAGTTGGATTGATTCATGTAGATATGTTTAAAGTATTTTCTCTCGCTCTGCCGTTTGCAATTTATTGAGACAATAACATTGTAGAGGTCCCGCCCAGGAACGCCTATTTATTGATGTCATACGGTCACCACAATATTGTCAATATACTCATACCAGTGCACAATAATAATATATTAATGTATACAATACATGTCCACTATCAAATAACATCACAGTATAAGCGTCCTGCTGAAGTTGTCTAAATATCGTTTAGAAAACCATACTGGTTAATTAAAATGTAACCCACATTACTAAAGGCTAAAGAATTAGTTGGCTAGGTTCTTACCTAAGTTCAAAAAAGTTTAATTATAGATACAATACTTAATGTTCTTTCTTACTAATAAAACTCATTAAATTGGGAGTTCAAATTCGTCATGGTAAAAAAATATAGTAGTTGTAAAAATTTTCAATAAAACATAACAATCAGGCGCGGCAATGCACCCGCCGAGACGAGCATCGCTGGCACACTCTTTCCTCTTAGCGCTTCAGGGCACTTTTGATTACTTTTCTTCGTCATACAGTTCAATTTTACTTGCAACAATTGTGCAATACAATGTTGCACGTTGAAGTACTAGGGAACTAAAAGATTCTGAGAGTATATATGTGTTATTTTAACTTACGTTATCTTATTGACCTGGCTATCTGAGACCTTAACACGAAACATTTTACGAAGTCTTGGTGTCCATATCAGAATTTACTTCACGTCAAATTGTAGAATGTATAGTCAAGTTTCTTAGTTTTCTTCAGTTCCATAGTTACTTTAATCCTGATTGTGCACAAATATTATACAATTTTGTTGATATCAATACGAATACTTCAGTCAAATGTTACATGTAAGACCTTCTGAGCTCATGTCTTTTCTATTCGGACGAAAAGAGACGCCTACATAAAACCAACACTCACACATTCGTCCGACCGTGTTAGTCCTAAAAGAAAATGGTTCTGTCTTCTTATTTTTGATATCGGAGAAAAAAAATTGAATTTACAATAAAATATGCCTCAAATCTTCATACATATTGCAGTCCCTACTTTGTCAAATATCAAAATTCAAATGCTGAAACAACCTATGTCCTTGACATTGACTTGGAACATAAGCAACCATGGCAACCTTGCTTCTTTGCTGCTAATAGACTTTAGTTCCTCTCCCGCATAGGTTTTTTTTTTCAATATATTTACCTAATTTTAAAATATGTAGCCTAAAGCGTGTCGTAATTGTTTTATTTAAAAAAAAAAATTCTGGTATATGCTGTGATAGCTGACATTCAACATAAAGCAGGCTGTATTTACGCTTTATTACACTAGTTTAGAATTAGATTTTGATAGATAAGATCAGCTGGAATCAACAACTATTTCTATATTTACACTTTAGCTCGTTTGCTATTTTCTGCAATAAAAATATGAATAACACGACTTTCTACGCTTATCTTAAATTATTACATTTTTAAAAAATTAGACATCTAAAGGAATAATCTTATAGAACTGGCTGTCACAGATCTAATGTAAATCTTTTATTCAAAGTCCAAACCAGACAATTTAAGTCCTAAGATGGTTTTCGATTTGGCTTGCGGACCCCCAATTATGAAATGGACGCCATGGATTCGCCGTTCATAATTGTACAATAATTAGAAAAAAAACTACGTTAAAATAATACATTTTCATAGAAGTTTCTTGAATAGACTAGCCGCGTTTATTAGCGTTTTCTAATCATTTTTATTTAATGCAAATAATAGTTACTGCCACTTAGATTATTTTTTAATACTTTTACCTATTTATTCACTCAGAGACAAGCCCATATTTTAAAGAATTACTACGTCAGTCGTCTTCATCGATTATACAACTGGTCTGACAACCGGTTGCTATCAGAAATTCCAAACGGTTATGTATTATGTATGTCGATCGACATTGAAGGTTGGCTAGAAGAGCTAGAGCTAGATTCTAGACATCCTAGATGGCCTAAGTATACCAGGATCGCATAAACATAAGAAGATTAAGGAGCATGCGCAAACCGTTTAGATCTTACATGTTTAGAGAGGGACGGATGTCACAAATGCATTCGTCAGTGACCTGACATCACACTGTTTATTAAGTAGTGCGAAGTTGGAGCAGTGCATATTGGCACGTACGAATTACCAGGAGATCATATCAATATAGGATACAGTAGCGCGACGTACCAGCTACGATGCGAACGTAGGAAATGCAATTTGCATCGGCGCAGTGAAGACCGTCTAGTTTTTTTCTCTTTCAGGTTAGTAATAGTGCTAGCACGATAGGGTCTGAACGTTATCTAAATTTTTGTTGTGAAATATAAAATATGATTCCATTTAGTGTTTCTTTGTGATTGAAGATAAATGTGCATCATAAGGTAGGTTAAACTATAAGTGCATTAATGTCATAGATTAATTAAGACTGAATAATTTAATTAAAATTTTAAACATTCGTAATCGACAGTGTATTGTGACAGTGTTATTAACTAAAACAATCATTTTAAAAACTAAATTACATATTCCATTATTTTAATTAGGTATATTCATATTGTTATTTTATTGGTTAATTTTAGTATCAACGTCAATTTTCCCGCGGTCAATGTATAATGAATTCAAATTAATTTAAAACTCGAGTCGAACATCTCTGGAACATTTAATTGTAGATATAACCTAACATTTTCTTGAACTTCGAAGAACAGAACTACGCCAGGTTAGGTTTGGTCTTATAACATGCATTTTATAACAGTATATAAGTGACATATGAGTAAAATATTTTCACGTCTTCGTACATTTTAGTCATATTATTTATCATTTAATTCTTTTATTTAGCATAATACTTTATCTTAAAATGATTTATAACTTTTTCATCGCCATAACGTTTTAAGCAAATTCAACCTCAATTTAAAAAAAAAAGAAAACAATACATGAGAATGTTAATTAATTTATTTACGAATAGACTGCTATCTATAGACATCTGCAACAACTTAAACAGTTATGTTTTAAAGGAAAAAAGGAGGGATTTACGAAAAAGGTTATGTCCCCTTTCCTATCTATCCCCTTCCCCGACCAATACGTTTTCCTATTCTAGCACTGTTAAACATAATTGTTGTGCTTAAATATTTTAATAAATGTTGAATATAATGTCGTCTACGCCATTAAATTTCTCATTTTAAGGTTATAAAGAGATGAGATAAGATTTAATGTTAAATTCTCAAGATCATTTTGTTAAATGAGTAAAAATCAATGCTTTTATTTATTTTTAATAATGAATTGATTAATTATGAAAACTAGATTGTCATTAAAAATTGAAAAAGCAATAGTTTATTTGATTTTGTTGGCTTGTGATGATTTTATTTATTTTATCATCATTATGAATCCGGCATTGGCCACATAGGCTTTAGATACCTTATAGTTATCTAAATTATTTAAAATAAATATTTTTTTTACCATAACGATTGCAGCCATAACGTCTAAATGATACAACAAGCTAGAGGTAAAAATACAAGCAAGACTTGTCCAAATACCGTAATAATTTATTGCCAACAAGTTGATTATTTGTGCGGTCAAAAGCAGTTGTGATAAATATATAAACGATTAACCTACATTGCAGATAAACTACATTATACAGTAATCAGTGACAGATGGGTTGAATGTTCTACAAAATTAGGAGTCGTTATCTCGATTTCAGCTCAATATTATTATTAATGCATATAAAAGGAGAAACCAACTAATATATCAAATGAGGTTATTACCTAAGAGAATACCAGTGTAGTTTTAGATACGGCGGAATGTTGAAAATAATCTTAAACTATTGGCTTTGTTAGCGTCAGATGTCAACATTTTAGAAGAATGTGTACTTATAGCATGGCCTTATAAGCTGTTACATATTTAAATGTCGTTTCGATGTTCAGCCGTGAGCAGTACAATTGAGAGTCTATTTCTGACAGCTAATAACATGTAGGTATATGTATAAATCAAATAAATTATTTTGTAAATATTGAATACAAGTATATTATTTGAATCATACTATTCTTTAGATGAAACAATAATTGCATAATAAAAACATTTCTGTTCACTATTTCTATGAGTTGTATTTTTATACAAATATAGCCTTAGTCATAAGGCTACACATAAGGTTATATGTTGTATTTTCACAGAAAACTATGTGATTACAAAGCTGTCATGGCCTTTATACCGTATACAATAATAATTATTAATTTGTTTGGATGGATCGCATGTTACAAGGAGAACGTTAGTTATGACTGTGGAAGGGTACACCGGTAGAGGTACAACTAGAAAAAGATGGATGGATTGCGTGAAAGGTGGCATGAGCAAAAAGGGAGTGATGACTGAGATGACTTATGATAGAATTATGTGGAGGCCAAAAACCTACTGCGCCGACACTACGGGAGTAGGATATGGAGGAAGATAAAGAATTATCATTAATTTCTTTAATGCTTTATAATAATGCATTTAAAACGAAGGCCCTTTTTTCAGAAATTACTTTGGCAAATTTGATATTTGGTATCCTGAAAGTCCTATTTAGTCCCGAAGTCTCGAGTACATAACGGGTGTTTTTGCAAAGATAATCGAATAGATAAATCGTTGAATTTATAGAATATTATATATAGAATATATAACAGAATATAAGAAACAACATATGTAGATAAGCGGAAATGATTCGAGCTTGATTACTGAACCCAGCCATTCTGTCGTTTGAATTGAATAAAGTAAATTGCTTTAAATTTAATCATTTTTTGTTACAGCAAGATAAATACGACGTTGGTAGTGGTGAGCAGTTCGACGATCTGGTTGGCCTAATCGAGCACTTCAGATCCTACCCTATGACGGAGACCTCCGGAGACGTGCTGCGTCTCTTACAACCTGTCAGCGGCACCTGCCTCCGAGCCAAGGATATAGATGAGAAAGTCATGGTATGTTAGTTATGTTTACAATAATAAAGCGAGCTACAAACTTGATTCATCCAATGAAAAGATCTACATACCTGTTAGAAGTTTTAACAGATGTAACTCTTTTTTTCGAATTGTCGAAATTTTTATCTGAAAAGGCTCGAGTAGTGCAATGTCACGATCTGAAAGATGATACCAGTAAAATATTTAGTAATTTATGAATGGGATGACGAAGTACCAAAATCGGTCTTCATCTTTATCTCTCATTATTCTTATAAGGAAGGGATGAAAAAAAAAATTATTGCAATACTGTAATGTTACATGAATTCAAAGATTATTTAATAACATTTCAGGAAATGGATGACATTCAAAAACCAGATAATAAATGTGGCTTCGATGGGGAATTTCATTCCTTGAAATTGATAGAAGATATGTTTGTTTTTACTGCAAATGAAGGCGTGAAGATGGAAAATATGCACAAAAATCGCTACAAGAATATAATACCATGTGAGTTGGGCAATTTTTTTACATGTTTTATGCTTTTTCAAATACGTCTGGCTATTCCACAAACAGAATCTGCTATGAATAAAAAACTAAAAATATCTTTTTCGCATCCAGACGACGAGACACGGGTGGTGTTACGTCGTGGCAGTGATGATTCCAACTGTTCAGATTACATCAACGCAAACTACATCAGATCCTCTCGCCTCAGTGACATCTCTAGCTCTGTACAGTCGTCCACAGAAAGTCTTAACAGCGTACATTGTAAGTTAAAATTCTATATTTAATGTCCATAAATTCAATTAAATCTGTGTAAAGATTCTGTCATATCCTAATAAAAGGTGTACTCGTAGCAGATTCATTTAGTCTTAGTTAAAATAGAAGTATTGCTAGATAGAAAGATATTTCCAACCTTCTGGATTACAAGCGTAAGTGTTCTGCCATAAAATTCCATAAAAAAGTGATTATACCAAATATAATACGAATTCTAAGTGACCAATATGTTTTTTAACTTAACACTAAACTGTAATAGATAATAAAAACTCATTCCAGCACTGATCCTGCATAGAGATTCTCGGGAGTCTGTACCTCTCGTCTCAAAGTCACTCTCCGATGACGCACTTCGAGAGGTCAAAAAGTTCATGAAATTGGACAAAATAAAAGGAAGTAAGCGTCGAAATAAAGGTGACTTGGCTACATTATTAACAAATATTCAATTGAACTGATTCTATGACACTCAGGTGTAGAATGATAACCGAATATTATATTGTCCAAAATTAGCCTAAACAAAATCAAATGGATCGCACGTATAGCTCATCTGAAAGTCGGATATTTACTAATCGAACAAGTAATTGACAATTTTTATTAATTCCAGTGAAAGACAAAACGTACATAGCAACACAAGGCTGTCTTACAAACACGGTGAATGACTTTTGGCGTATGATCTGGCAAGAGGATGTCAGGGTAATTGCTATGATCACAAACGAAGCTGAAAGGGGAAAGGTAAAATATTTTTATTTAAAGCTTCAGATTAGACGGAACAGATATTCTGCGACTTCGGGGGCTTATCCAGTTTTATCCCGATTGCCTTAGATGGCGCTTATCTCCCAGTTTGCTCCGACTTCCAATACCTCGGCTCATTAATCCAAAGGTGGCGACATTGGCTGTGACGTGACAAATAGAATAAAAGCGGGATGGATGATATGGCGACAGGTCACAAGACTAATATGCGACCCTCAAATTCCGGTTAAACTAAAGGGGAAAATTTACAAGGCCGTCGTAAGACCTGTCATGATGTATGGATCTAAATGTTGGGCAGTAAAAAGAAGGGATGAAAAGACTACATGTGGCAGAAATGAGGATGTTAAGATGAATATGTGGGGTAACACGAATGGATAAGATACGAAAGTAAGGAGTAAAAGGTTAGCACGTTATGGGCATGTTATGAGGAGGGATGAATCACATGTAACAAGGAGAACGTTAGTTATGAGTGTCGAAGGGTACATTGGTAGAGGTAGACCTAGAAAGAGATAGATGGATTGTGTAAAAGGTGACATGATCAAAAAGGCAGTGATGACTGAGATGACGTATGGTAGAGTTATGTGGAGGACAAAAACATGTTGCGCCGGCCCTACGGGGGTAGGCTAAGGAGAAAGATGATGATGATGAGCTTAAAATTAGACGATTATCCATTTCTATAATCTATACTAATATTATAAAGAGGAAAGATTTGTATTTGTGTATGTATTGAAATAACTCAAAAACAACTAGGACGATTTAAAAAAAATCTTGCTCCATTTAAAAGCTACGTTATCACCAAGTAACATAGGCGATGTTTTTTACTATTTGTAATTTGACATGGACAAAATCGCAAGCAAAAGTCAGTTTATAAATATCTACATATTTCAAGACCATCGTACAGGGATACTCGTATCTTCGACCCGTCGACAGCAGCCGCATAAATCTGAATCCGCTTGAAACGACACATTTTATGATTTCAAGATTTATTGTTTTATTTTTTATGACTTATTAGACATAAGAGTTTTAATTTTGTAGTACTCAAGTATATTCGCACAAGCGTCCATGATATCTGCATTGTACGTAATAATATTATTGCTTATGGCTTATCCTGAAAGCTAAATTTAGCTTCGAGGAATTTTAATCAAACCATTCGTGTCTTTAATACATTTTTTCTTTCAATGAGAGTTCAGTCAACTCTCAGTGTTTATAATTTCTTTCGTTGTATTTCACATTTGATCAATAATCCAGTTTTATTTTATGTTTTACTTATTGGTAATAAGTCTTTAACATATGCTTTCAGAAAAAGTGTGAACGTTACTGGCCGCAGTCCGGTCAGAAAGAGATGTACAGTAACCTGCTGGTGAAGTCAATATCCGAGACACATTACGAAGATTATCTTTTGCGTGAATTTGATATCAGCGACAAGAATACTTACAGAACTATTTACCAATACCAATTCACTGTAAGTATATCTGAATTTGTTCTTGCCGATATGCTTAAATTGATAGATTGATCACGCATTGTATTTTATATGTTTTATTTGTTTCTTATCTTCTTCTTAAAGTGCCATCTTCTTTCGAAGTTCGGCGATCATTAGGGCGACTTGCGTTCTTGACACCGCGGCTCTGAAAAGTGAACGGGTACTCTTTCCAAACCACTGGCGTAGGTTTTTGAGCCAGGACGTTCATCTTCCACCTACACTTCGCTTTCTGTGAATGTGCCTTTTACGATGAGCTGCAGTAGTTCGTATTTGGCATTTCTCATTATAAACTCCTTATAAACTCGGTTATTTTTGGACCTATATGAATTAATTCTTCAACCAAAGAAAGATATGACGTAACCAGGCTTTCACAATATATGGTAAACACATATATCAGTTTCATGTTTAAATATGATAAATGATTTTCACCTTAAAACTTTTCTTTTTCAAAGGCGTGGCCTGATCACAGTATACCTGCAGACCCAGACGGAGTACTGGCTTTTATAGATGATATCAACAGAAGGATGCGTCAGAATATGGAAGAGGAAGGAGCTCCCGAACAGGTTAATGGTTATATTTTATTATACACTATTTGGAAATTAAATATACAACAGAATATTATAGATTTATACCACTGATAAAGTGTCCAGACTAATTCCATTCTTTAAAGTATAAAATTTAATGACAATAATAGCAATATAACAAATAAATGATCATATAATTGTAACCTGATCATTTATACATTTTTATTTACTTTACCTTTGATTCTTGTTTGGCTGAATTCTCCAAGAAAATTAAAGATCTATGATAGGGCTCGCCTGTTAATAAGGCTCTCCTGATGGTGCTAAAATTTAAAACTATGTTTAGGTTTTAATTTGATTTTTTGGAAATAACAGAATAAGTATAGTTTCTAAGAGGCAGCAGGTTAAACCCAAAGTGTGTTTGACGACATTTTTTGTTAATCCTTCAGAATGTGCTGTGCGTCCATTGTTCAGCTGGGGTCGGCAGGACTGGTACATTTATTGTTCTCGACATGCTCATCGACAAGATTAAAATATCCGGTGAGCGTTACATCTTTTCAACACCCACCGTGGGTTTACACTGTCGTAATACAAAAACAAATATCTAATAAAAAGTCACATTGTATTATTTATTTAAAACGAATGACAGGAATGACAATATATTTTTATACAAGTATTTCGGCAATGGAATCCTGCGCTAATATTGCACTTTTGTTAGATAACTGAAAACAATGACAGTATTATTATTTAACCATTTGTGTCACATCTACTTGTGTTTAGCGATTTCTATCTTTGTTGCGAATGAGCTGTGCTATTTGTATTTTAACGTGAGCATTGCGACGTTCACTATTATTATTTTTCATTAATATACAAGGGAGAGGGGATTTTATTAAATATTATTTATCAAAAACTCCTCTTTCAGAAAATTCGGGTCGTATGTCGATAAGCATTCATATTGGATTATAAAAAATTTTTACTACTGGCGTTCTCGATCTAGCCTATCATCAGCTGGCGGCGCCCTTGATTTTGTAATTTGCTGTTGCATACTAACGTTATTTATGTAATCGTAACTTTCTACCGTACGAATTTTATCTACTGAAATACATTAACAAAAACGTTATTGCCATCCCACTTCAAAAAAAAAAACTGAGATAGCACTATGTCTCGCAAATGTAAATTCAGGGTTATAGTGCAGAAACGTACAAAAGGAGCAATTTTTCCTGACACTTCAAGTTCCTATGTATTGTAACTTTGCAATATATTTGGCTGTGTGAATAATTCTAAGCGCATAAATTGTTTAAATAATACTTTATTTAATGTTTACAATTTAGGAGAACAGCTGAGACTCGTCTTTAGTATTTCTTTTATTTTTTCATTCCGTATGTACATTGTATTTTTTTGGTAATAAATATTTTGTATCTACAATTAATCCATGTATATTATTGAAGATATATACAGTATAGTCATTTCTTAATATTAATTAGAAATATTGCATATTTCCGTAGGCCACAACTGTGATATAGACGTCCACAACACTGTTAAACTGGTCCGAACGCAGCGGAGAGGATTGGTGCAGAACAAATCTCAATACAGATTCATATATCTAGCACTCAAGAGTTACATCGAAAATAATAGTCTACAGTCACGTAAAAAGGTTTGTATTAAACCACAATTCATTTGAAATTACGTATTATAATTAAGAATATTAATTACCTCTGAGGAAAAAAAATAGTTCCACATTTTTCCGCAGTGCGGCAAGGACGTTGTTACGCCTGATCAGTGTATATGTTACCGGAAATGTTTGATAACTAGGATTTATTTACTATGTCTAGGAAAAGTATAGAATTTTGAAGCTGTTTTGGCAATGTGTAAAATGTTTCAAAGATTATAAAATACACACAAGTCCTGGTAATTACACATTTCATAGAAATTGTATGGAATTCCAAAATCGCAATGAACATAGTATTAAAACAATGTTTTCTACAAATAAAATTGTTAAATAGCATTTGTGGGTTCTCAATAATTCCAAGCGATTTTAGGAGTTATAGATTGCCTAGGAGTTGTGTACAATGACGGATTTCATACATTTCCGTCAAAATATACACATATTGTTGTGCTAGAACTTTGTAACACTAGTACAACCATATTGCCAAACTCCTCATTTACTTTAAAATAGCTGGGACAGAACCTTTTTTTGAACACGGTGAAACCCGACTATTAACGAATTCATCATCAAGAACAGGGCTGTCCAATTTGATATGACTTTTCCCTGACAAGGTGCTACTGATTCCATAATTCTTAAAATCTCGAAACTATAATAATTTAGTGTACAGTTATGTACTGATTATGTAGCCTACTTATTTAATAAGGCTAATAGTTGCCATAGACTACACCTGCTATGTACATTCCCTAATAAATATCTTGCTATAAATTTACGGACCAACCACTACTAGTTTTAATAGGCTTTTAAAGTATCAATTTATTTCAAAAGTACTATATTATTTAATTGTTTCTTGTTAGATTAGATTTATAGAAAGTTACTCTATTATTTCAAAAAATGTTCAATGTTACTACTAAATATTTTATTTTGTTAATATTATCGTGTTTTGTAACAGTGACATCTATTGGCGAAGTGCGGAGTCTTATTCTTGTAGAAATATTTACACCCGTAACATAAACGGGGTGAGCAATCGTAAATGAACATATTGATTTGATGATATACCAGAGAATGACAGTACGAGTAGAGTTAGCCAAGTCAGATATTATGAAACTAGAGGGTATCTGAACCATACAAAACATGTAACTAACTCCCGAAATACAATCCTAGTTTAAGATATAAATCCCCCGAAACAAAATCCTTGTTCGGTTACAGAGTCCCACAAATTATTGTTAACAAATTGTCCAATATTTTTATATGAATTTTGTACCATAGTGCTTTATTCGTAGAATACGACAGAGATCATCGAAGCCCATAGAGCTAATATTCCACGTCTCAAATAACATCCCGTAAATGCAGTTTGCTTTACTAGTAACGCATGCATTCCAAATAGTTTTAAATAAAACTATTTTGACTCCATCACGAACTGTCTAATATAAAATGTTTAGTATATCTCTCATTGATTTTCAAGACACATTTGTGCGTTCCCCCAGTTTTGTGGTTTCACCCCACTCGTCCCTCATTCCGCCCCTAGTTGTAACATTTAAGCGCGATCGAAGCTTTTGCCGCAAATGCGGGGTGCGGCTTCATATTTAACACTTATATACTCTTATACATATATATTTACTTTTATTACCAAAATATTCACCGTCTGTTAAAAATATAAAACAATTACTGAAATTCATACTATGATATTGGATGCACGCATAAATTTTCGTAGTTATCTTAAAAACATTATCATTTTAAATACCATCATATAAAAATATTTACATATTCATCACTATCCATACGATACATTTTTGCACAAGTTACATTTAAATTATGTAGTAAAATTAATAATTGTTTATTTGACTTACCCTATTATTCTGGAGTACTATGTAATTTGCTGCATAACATTTGAAAACGACAACAACTATTTCTTTTCGTTTTTTTTATTAACACACATTTATTCACAGACGCATGCATTTGAAACTGCATCACGTCACTTTTAAATTCAATAATTTATCACGACACTTTTCCACTTGGACAACCGAACTTTTTAATAATTTTCTAATCATCGTAATAGCGCGGAATTCTAAATGCACTTTCATTTTATTTTAAAGGGCCAGTTTTCGGCAACCCCAGTGACCTACTTTATCGAGCATTCGGCTAAGACTGCGAGCATCGTCAAATGCGGGCGTAGGAACGATGCCTACAATTCCATAATGTAATCCCCTTAGGGTCGTCTATACGTCCCTTTTTTACCGCTAGGGACAAAAGTCACTATTTTAACCTACTGTGTACAGCCGAAAGATTATAACTATGTTAAAAACAGTCTCTCACAACCTTTTCACATAAGGGATTTATGAATTGGTAAAAACTTCATTTTCTTATTCATATTTTTTATCATAACTGGTTTACAGCCGCACATACACACACACACACACACCTATTACATATTTACAATTTCTTAAAATAAACCACAACAATAAAAATAGTAAAAAACAATTTCCCATTGTGCTCACTTTTACGCTTTCTAAAACAACATCTTTTTGTTTACTTATTTTTCGTCGAAAGCGCGCGGTGTCGTGTCACTGGCCAGTTCGATCTGTTTGGTAGAGTGCAACTCCTGTACTACCAAAGAGGTCCCATGAAGGCCATATTGATGGGCTTCATTAGAGGGCTAGTCAGCTGCATCCCCACCCAGTCCAAAATGAAAAAAAAATGTAAAATAGACACGAAAAACGATTATTACAGTAGCTAAATATATTAATAGTAACTGACACCCACTATAACTAGGGCAGATAATGAGATCTCGTAGCTTGTCTTTCTTGAAAAAAAAAAGTGTTTTTGAGATATTTTACAGATGGAAGTTGCCACATCCTAAACACAAACTGTATAAACATCTTGTTCTCTTTGATTTTCTCAAATAAAAGGGCTGGCTATATTATGTAAATTATTATAATAGAATATCTTCAAAAACATACGATGTGAGAAAGTCCATTTCATATTATCCACAGATTGTGTATTAGATTTAAAAAAAAATCACATTTTTATTAATCACCAGTTTTATCAGAGAGGTCACTGTTATGAAATATGTCCATAAGTACGAGTATATGTACCTCTTGCTTATTCCCGCGACTTCGACTGCGCGGAATTAAAAAAGCTTCGTAACCTATGTGTGCCTTTCTCTGTGCCAGATTTCATGGAGATTCGTGAATTCGTTCTGGAGATGTATTAACAAACATCCATCCATCAAAACTATCACATTTATAACATTAGTAAGATATTTCTTAAACATTGTATTATAGTATACTGCAATATGAAGTATAAAGTAGCCTACAATATGCCCGTCTATCTCAGCTTCCCTTCAGTAAAAGTCCGGCCGAAACCGGTCCAGCCGTTTCGAATATTACCCGAAACAAACAGGGCTTGCGAATAGGCAGACAGACAAAAATTATTAAATGCGATTTTCGCTGTCGGCAACGCAAATACAGCATCTTCCCGAAATCTGGAATTTTCTTTTGATATAACAAACAGACACTTTAATCTTACTAATATTATAAATGCGAAAGTTTAGGTGGATGGATGGATGGATGGATGGATGTTAGAGTTTGCAGCCCAAACGGCTGTACGGATCTCGATAAAATTTGGCATAGATGTAAAGGATTGTTTTTTTTAATTCCACGCGGACAAAGTCGCGGGCGAAAGCTCGTTTTATATATGTATAAATAGATATGTTTATAAATACTTTTCTTACAAATATTTACCGATTGAGAAAGACACATTGTATATTTATGTTTCCTTTGGACCAAATAATACCAAAATGCTAAACAATATTCTGGCCAGTTAGTTGTCACCTTTAGACACCAGAGGGCATTCTAAATTATTAAATCTTTTAGACGGATTTCTAATGAAAAAAATAACTTCATCATCATCGTGGTCCTACTATTTCTTAAATGTGATTGAAGTCTGTTTGTCATATTTGTGTACTTATTTGCCATATTTTTCATTTCAGATCTACTAGAGCGGAGCGTAACCGAAGATCACCAAATGTTGGACCAAAGTGCACAATATTTAAAAAAATAGTATTATATCGAGAGTGTAAAGTTATTACATATTTATTAGAATTTATTTAAATTGTAGCGCCCTTTCTGTCGAACCCAAAAATTGATGTAGGACCATTTTTTATCCAAGGTTTTCTTTTTAATTACCATAGACATAAAATACCATAGTTGTTAGTATAGTACTGGTAATAAGCTAATATTATATATGTCAATCCATTCGAAGTAATAATAATATCCGGATTTATGGAGATCGATTATTGGGTTCGGCCGAGATGATACTGTAATGTTTAACCAAATCATATCGCTGTAAGTTTGCTTATAATTTTAAAATTATACCAGTTACAGAAATGAAACCGTATTTCATTAATCAGAAATATTATGCTTGCTCTACAAAAGATAACACTAAACACCACATATGCAATAATATTGGCATTCACTTTATTACAGAATAGTATTTTTAATTCATTGATTTAAAACTATACTTTGCTCATCTTTTATTTCGATGACAATCTCTTTTGGTAATGGTAATTTATTTTTTTCGACAACAGTTTATATTCAAATGCTGTAGATGCTTGTTCAGCTAATGGCTTTGTTATTGTAATTACATTGTTTTTTAGGGCAAATCCCTGAATGACGATTGTTTACTAATGGCTGTGTTTTTATTATTACCTAATGACCTGCAGGTGCGAGTTGTTTGTTTTGAACGCTATGCGCTTAAGACTTGCAAATGCTTTGTTTGTTATCTTTTTTATGATGACTATTGTTTATTTGGAGTACACGATTAGCTTTCAATGCTTGTGTTTTTTTTAGTTTAATTTATTTATGTCTCGTGTATTAGTTATATTTCTTTGTTATTACTTAATTCTTCCAAAAACAACATTATATTATTTAATATTACCTACATATTTTTCAATACAAATGTAAATTTGCTTATACAAAAATATGTAGCGATTACAAACAAACAGCAAATAAATCTATCAACGGAAAGTGTCGCTACAAAGTATGAGTGTAAGAAAGAATTATCATAACTGGGAAGAAAGCGAACCTCACGCTTCTAAAATCTTAAGTCATGTAGTTCTTCTGGTGCTGCGGATGTCCATGGCCGTCGTCGATGACCTCAGTATTCAGCTCTGTGATTGGCACGTTTTATTATAAAAAAAATGTCATCGCAGAAAATGAGTCGACGAAATAATGTCAAAAACACAAGTAGTCAGGGTGATAATCCAACTCCAATAGATGACACTTGAGAAATGACCAGATGCAGATAGGTTTTATTTCATGTTTTAATTTACATCCTCAAAACTAAAATTGCAAGAATTGAAGAAGTGACTGTTGAAGATGACATAAAAACTATTTTAAGGAACATAAATAAAAACATACATTGATAATTGTAGTAGAAACGTAAAATAGTTTTAGAAAAAATGTAAAATCATCAAGATAAAGAAATTGTATTAAACTCAGCTATCAATATTTAATTAGTTAGTTTTATATTATAAATGCGAAAGTTTAGATGGATGGATGGATGGATGGATGGATGGATGTTTGTTAGCGTTTGTAGCCTAAACGGCTGAACGGATCTCCATGAAATTTGACACAGGTTTAGAGCATAGTCTGGAAGAACACATAGGATTTTTTTATGACGGGAATAGTTATGGTTCCCGTGGGATTCACTAATTTAGTTTTTTAATATTTACTCGATCATTCTGCAACGGTTCAACATATCTTATTGAAATTTGGCATAGATATAAAGCAAAGTCTGGACACATGGGATAAGGTTCATCCCCGAGAAATGTCCGGTTCCCGAGGGATATGTAGCTTTTTGTTATTTATATAGTTCGTATGTTTTCTAATACCACGCGGACGAAGTCGCGGGCAACAGCTAGTTAGTTTTATTAGTGATTACGAATTAGGGTCCTTCAGGAAGCGTGCATGGCACCTTCTCAATCTGGGATAGCATCTGCAGTTCCTCTGGTATTGTAGATGTCCATGGGCGTGGATGATCACTTCGTCGTCCCCGCTCCTTGCCATCTTCTATTTTAATAAAGAACTCTCCTTCATCCATCACATTCTATCACGTTTGAAGTCAATATTACAAGTATTATAATCTTTTTAAAGGTCTTAACAGAACAAGTGAAGGGATTTTTTTAATTATCTTAAGAAAATCATTCTTAACCTTTAAATCTCTTGAAAAAATTCAATACGACACTTACTTATGGAGAAAGACATTGAACTGTGTCGGAAAATATCTTTTCAACTTTCATATCCTTGTTGTTAATTGTGATGGTTCCATTTTAAATGTAAAATTTTGAATTTAGCGCCCATAATACTTTGGAGTTTCTGATTGCTTAGCGAAGTACGCATGTGCGTCTAAAACATCGTTTATTGGCAGAAAAATTGTAAATGCCGATCAATAACCTCTTCACCAATCCTGAGGTTTTCAATGCTGCCAACATAATTTTTAACTTAGTACGCATGCGAAATATTTGACTTTTCCGTATTGATCGACCGCTCTCCGCGCCCCTGGTGTTAATTTTAGAATACAAGGCTTCAACAGAAGTTTATTATTTATAAAACTAGATGGCGTCATGAGTCGAGAACGGCACTTGAATGCATAAAATTTAATTAAAAATAAATGAAAATTATGTATATGAAATCATATCAAAACCAAATGTGTCTAAAAACAATAACACTATGAAACTGAAGGTTCGTGGGCTATTAGGCATTTTAGATAAAAAAATAAATAAAAACAACTTTTAATGTAAATTTTTAAGTATATATGCAATTACATGCAACATTTCTACTAGCCTAAAAAAATTTTTCAAGTTTAAATAAGTTTGAGCCGAAAGCTAACAAGCTCTAGTGGAGATGCACTTTGCAACTGTCACTTATTTGAAATATTTTACTAGTTATCTCAAAATCATTAATATACTTATTTCTGTTTTAAAAATTCATTATACATTATACTATTTAGTTTCAGTACCAAAGTAATGTCTTTCCAATAAATGCAATCTAAATAGGTTTTAGTTCTCGGAAACGTAAGCTTTTATTGGTATTTCGACATCCTATTTCAAATTAATTTTGAAATTAATTTGAGGAATGAGATTCGGAAAGGTGGTTGATAGGTTTTAAAAGGGGGGAAGCAGATTACTTAGAGCTACGTCCCCTACCCAGAATTCAGGAAACCACACCTTTATAGCAACTGCCTCGGTCATAGCGCAATTCCGAATTTTACTGCACTGCGGTAACCTTATTGCGATTTCCAAGAAGCCTGGAAATCGCATCATATAATGGCACAATAGATACTAGTATTATTCGAGTTATCATTTAGAGTTATATAGATACTAACAATTGATAATTCTGATCTTGCTATAACTAACCAGATTCTCGACGCCCGCCCCTAGATATCATCACTGAAATAGAAAAAACGTCACCAGACGCGTAATCTATCCTAGTAGTACAAAAGTATTTCGAAAAAAACAAACAGTTCCTTTATTATTCACATTAGTGTCTCAAACTTAATTTTGCTTTAAGTACTAGCTTTGTCCAAACTGATTTAGAAAAGTTCGTTAACGCAAAATTATAAGTTATGTCCCATTTCGTAAAAAAATAGTTCTTCATTCGTATCCTTTTTCCCAATATTCAGTTCATTTCAGTGCAAAATGCTACCTCTTTGGCTGACAAGAAGTACGAATACAGCCAAAGAGGTTGCATACTGGCCATCAAGACTTTTGCGTGGTTTCTTATTAAAAAGATATAGGAAAGGGAAAGAAAAGGAAGCGTATTACAGTTGAGATATGATCGACATAGACATATGTATTTCTGGCTGTCGCGTTGTCCGTAACAAGTTAAACATGGTCGAATCGAGTACCAGTAAGATCAAGGGTCTCTCTCCGGGTTTGTTGAATTGAAGAAGTATTAGCCAATTGTTGTGGTGGCTTTACAAGGATATGTTTATCTGATTCAATTAAACCGAGAGCCGGCAGCCGTCAGCCAAAAAGTTTATAAGGTGCTAACGCCATAGAAGTTGGGCGTTAGGAGCACATGAAAGAAGAAGACTGCCAAGTCATGTTAGGGGCATCAGCGTGGTAAGCCCCACCGGCCAGCGCAGCAGAATCTTTGCACATCGCGCGCGCTCTGATGACGTCATCCGCGCGTACGCGCCATTTTGTGGAATAATGTGAAAATTAAAAGCGAATTGTTAAAAGAATGTGGGTTTGTTTTGAGTGATATTTTTTATGAATTTTAAATGTTTTGTGTGTTGACAATAGGTATGATTTTGGTTATATTGTTAATATTTGATATTTGAGTCAGTGTTTTTAATTGATGTTGATAATATTTTACGACGTTATATTATTTGATTTGTCTTTAGGATGAGTCGATGTTCATATTTTATGTTTTGTTGTATAATTGCAAATGTGTGATTTTTACTGTCTATTGTTTTATATTACGGTAGTGTTAGCAAAGTTTAGAGATTATCAAGACTACACTTAATTTAACAGGTCTAAGTTTAAGAGATATAAGAGAAATGTTCATAGTTGTTAAATGTTCAAAGGAGCTCCCTGCAAACCGAACCAAGTACACTGATTGGCGGGCGCTAAAGTTTTCGGGTACATCGGTCTTAACAACGCACTGAGAGTATTTTGTAAGAATGAAGAGCCTAGGTTTAATTATCCTGTATCCATCGACAATCGACACCAAGTGGATGCGATTTACACTGACTTTTCCAGGGCATTTGATGTAGCGGACATTGTCATATTAACTAAAAAGCTAAAGTGGTATGGTTTTCACGGAAATTTATTAAATTGGCTAACTTCTTACTTGCACAACAGAAAGTTCAAAGTGGTAATAAATGGGTTCCAGTCCGAAGTAGTTAATATTCATTCAGGCGTACCACAAGGATCGCATTTGGGGCCTGTGTTATTTAACTTATATATTAATGATATAGTAAACTGTTTTCATAATAGTGTTGTACTTCTTTATGCGGATGATCTGAAGTTTTACAAAGCAATAAAAACTCCCGTTGACGGGAACTTACTTCAAGAGGATATAAATAGACTAGTAGATTGGTGTAGCCTTAATAATATGATTCTTAATCAGGATAAATGCTATCATATCTCATTCAACAAAAAGATTCATCCTCTTAAGTTTGATTATACAATAAATGATAACCCAATACAAAATACTAGTATGATTCGTGATTTAGGTGTTTCAATTGACAGTAAACTGAGTTTTAGAACACATATTGATCAAATTATAAAAAATTAATTAAAACAAATTAAAACTAAAATTAAAAATTATTATTTCAGTAAAGATCACACACCTTAGGAGTGTACATTAAGTTATTTTTCTTTTTTGTAGTGAGTTTAGTTTTAGTTTTTAATTCTTTGTCATGTAAAACTTTTATTTTTTATTATAATGTTGTGTTAGCCTGTAAGTGTATCCATGATATTGTGTTTTAGTTATAATTACTTTTCTTCATCATACAGAACTTATTTCATGTGATACGTTGGCTTCCTATTGTAAATAAATAAATAAATAAATTATTATTTCGTCCTATTTGTTCAATTAGATAAATTGATCTAAACTGGATCGACACGAGAGATAAAATATATGATTTTTTTCACTTTACTGTTTTCTGTCCAATCAAAATATCGCTAGTAACTTTAAAATATGATGTTGTTTACTATTTTACGGTAGCACATACATTTTTAAATAACGTACACCTCCCCCTCCTTTCTCGCTTTCTATCGCAACCGTTCATTGGCATCATTCAGTCATGTAGCTAGTTTCAGACAGAACGCTTGTCTCACCCGTAAGCAAAAGTTTACGCAATGTATAAAATAACTGTCGTATGGCATTGATCTGTAAGAAAAATATTGAATGAAAAAAAAAGCAATATAAAGTCATGCGTATTGTGTTCTATGCCCATTGACTGACAGACTTTTTGTATATTTTTCTACTTTTCACATCTGACATCACTTTATCGAGAGTCAGAGTCATTGCCACTGGACAAGGGATCCAATTCCCTTTTTGTCATCTTGACAATCACAGCTCCATGTCCCATTTCCACTGGCGGATGCAACAAGGGAAAGGATGTAAAATAAAAGGAAACGCCACGGAAAAATTATATAAAACAGATAACTGTGTTATCTTAGAATACATTTAATACAATAGGCGACAAGGCTTCAAATTATATCTTTCTTGGTGAAATATGCCCAAAACAACAGAATGGTAAATTTGTAAATCTTTATTGACGCAATTTTGGAAAATGCCCAATATTGAAAATGGCGACAACAGCTGGTTTCTTCTTGTACAACATGTAACGGATGAAACACATTGGTTTTTATTTATCTAAGTCGGAGTAGTTTGACTCGTAATCCATCTTACCCGGAACACCATGATTATAGAATTTATGTACCACTGATGCTGATAAGTCGAATTTCCACGAAGCGACAAGAAGTTCAAGCAAATTTTTAGGAGTTTGAGTGGCTCGACTAAGAGGTTTTGCTAATTAGTGCGTCTTCGGCAAAGCTCTAAAACGACTTTAAGAGAACATTGCGTCCTCAGCGTGGGCTTGAGGTCCGAACGTGGTAAGCTGTTTGAGCAGAGCTCGAACACATTGAAGTTCACACTGACTATTAACTAGCAGAGCAGACAAGTGAAGCTGAGGTATAGCAGCAAAACGATGTTCACCATAGAGGTGCCGTTAAATCAACAGGTCGGCGCTGAGCTGGAGCATCGTTCAGATCCGGTGCTGCACCATGCCTTGAACTGCGAAAAGACTTGGCACCCTGCGCGGTGTTCAGGATGAAAATTAAGAATAGTGATAAGTTAATGCTGCTGCGGAGGTTACCGCTAAAAACTAATATGCTTTTCTATTATGGATGCCTACAACAATCGACAAGTCTTCAACTCCAATGGTAACAAGACATAAAAATTAAAAGTCAGTGTGAAAACGTGTAATTAGGGCATTATTTCACGAAAGCTTATATTAACACGGTCACTGCGGAACAGACCGATATGGTTTCCATTTCGCGCAGTCTTGGCATAACTCCCTCGCATCTGTCAGTCATCGGTTTCGAGTATTTCTACGACTATTTCCTTTTGTTTAATAAGTAGTTTAAAGTCAATAGTGTGATTGCAAAATATCAAGGGTTTAATTTTACGGTGACATATCTACCCCCACCTAGCCTCTAGTCCCCTTCTCACTTTCTATGGCTGTCGCACTCGCACAGTTCATTGTCAGTCGTGTTTCAACTTTCAGAGGGAACGTTTGTACAACTTGTAATACTGCTACTTTTACGCAAGTTATAAAATACATTTTCCTAGATGGGAACTGTGAACCAGGAGGAAACTTCGTATTCATACCAAATTCGAAAACTCGTATCGATAAATGTTTACCATCAGCTAAGTCCAGAATTGCTGAACAACGGATTATACTCGTAGGATGATTACAGCGGTATAAAAGAGCATTAGTTGCTACACAAATGGATATCTTGACCAGTACAATATCATGACCACACAGAAGACAGATACAATGTGAAGGATTTTTCGCATCTGCTTTGATCAGTGTGCTGACAGAGGTCAATTCTACTCCCCTTACACTACCCGTCATTTCCGAACATCTAAAAAAATGTAAAGGGTCACAGTATGAAGTAGGGAAGAGAATGTATTGGAAATACAATCAATTGTATGAGAAATAGGCAAAATATCCCCACATATTTTAACTAATTTCTGATACGAAGTAAAAGCCAGGCAAGTAAATGCACAGGTCAGAGCCATGGAAAAGATATCTGGATATCTACGATTACGATACGTTAAAAAAACGATTTTTTGGTTCTTCTACCTTAAGTAATAATAAACAAGGACACGCTACCATATGTTGATTTTGAGAAACATAAGGATGTTAAAATACAAGTAGGTATACAAATCAAAGGGAACTAACCTCTGGCAAGACCAGAAGATCAGGCCAATTAGTCGAGTTATCAGGCTTACAGTCGAATCAGTCATTAGCGATTCGAATAGCTTTCCGTTGCATGCGGTCCAATGGGAGTATTGAGGTGCTCCTGCCCATAAACACGAGCAGTATTCCATGTGGGGTTGAACTTGCGCGTTATATAGCTGCAGGCGATAGCGTGGCTGTAAATACTGCTTTACTATGCTGAGCACCCTTAGCTCTTGAAGTCTATAAGTCGTTGTGCATGATAGATGACGTTCAAACGCTGTCCGCATATTTACGCCGTGTTCTTCGTATCCCGATGCTATAAAATTTGATCATTGTGTGGCGCATCTCAGGCGCTACTAAGTCGCTAAGGCCTAACTGTTTCTAATGAGAAGTACTTAATCGCATCACCAATATTATTTTGGTTAAAATGATAATAGAATATGACCAGTTCCTAAATATTAATCGCAAAAGCCGTGATAGCTGAGAATCATGCTTAGAATTGAAATCTAAACAAGAGGAGACATTTGTATTTTTGCATGTATTGAAGTAATTCAAAAAATTTTCACCAATAAAATGCTACGATTTCACTGAGTAGCAGAGGTTGTATTTTTTACGAAGTCGCAAGCAACGGCTAGTATTTTACAAATATATAAAATGCGTTGGACTCAACTAACGGTTTTCACAACCTGATAATCCAAAAGCTATCGATTTGGTATTGCACCCTGTTAAGGTGGCGATTCTGTTGTTAACTTAACCTTGTCGAGAAGTGTTGGGTATCATTCCATTCTTGCATGAAATTAAATAGAGATGAAGTTCCTTTGATTTCTAGATTTTTTTTAAGTTTCATTACTAATTACGTGACTGCAATGTTGAGAGCTAGATAGGAATAAATATAATCATTGTTTTTTTTTTCTTGCCCTCTTTCTCTTTAACAGGAAGTTTGATAAAGCAAAGTGTTTTAAATGAAAGACAAGTTTTAACTTGACGTGTATATATTTATTTAAATCCACATTAAAATATTTCCAAGCTATGTTGGTATAACTTCATAATTAACATATACTAAGTAAACAGTAATAAAAAGTAATTAGGTATAAGGTTATAACAACACATCAATCTTAGAGCTTTAAGCTATATAAAATCAATAATAATTAAAAAATGACAATACTGAGAACAATAAACTCCCATATTATTAAAATTAACATAATAATCCATTACAGTCGTATTAAACAATTTTGAATACATTTGGCACATAATAATATTATCTGAAAAAAAAAACATGTCCACGAAATATCTAAAAGTAAAAAATACATTTCATTTAATTAAGGAAGGTTATACTTAATTATATCGACAATTAAATAGGAATTAAAAATTAAATACAAAATATAGTTTTTTACTCCCTATAAATAAGTTTGAAGACAGACGTAAATTCCTATAAACAGTTCAAATTGATCGAAATCAATGGATTCTTAGTTGTTAAAATTATTGTGAACGCATTTCTCCACAAATGTACTGCAATACGTGAAGGTTTTGTTTTCTAATATAGTTGAACTGATTTCTTCAAAATTGTGGAATACAGAGGTACTTATATAAAACGTATTTAATATACCTATGATAGTTGTGATTTAACTAATGCCGCAAGTTGATGCTAAAGTAAACTAATTTAGGGTGTAATTCCTTATAATAAAATCATAACAAATCTTAAAGAAAATAATGTAAAAACAAACCCACAGACGAATTAACCTCCTCCTTTTTGATGTGGTTTAAAAATAGATATTTATTAAAGAGAATTTAAATATATAGTACTTATATTCTACTTGAAAATATACCTAATAAGATACTCAAAATAAAATAAAACGATATCCTTTACAAAGTTCTTGTGATAAGCAAAGAAGGTAACATAACGTACGATAAATAGCTGTGTTAAAATATGATGTATTTACTAGTCCAAAGTATAAACGAATAACGAAATATATTAATACATAAATTAAATTATTATTTAATATAGCCTTAACAGTTTATAAGTTATTAAATAAATATCAAAATATTCAAAAGAACGACCTGACCTGAGCATCGAAACATAGCTATATTTTGTATAGCGTCAAACAAACATTGCAGTCAACTACTTTTATATAAATTGTTTATTATATGTGCTAAATTGTTGTGTGCGAATATATATTTATAACTATAAAATGTGTTCGATGCCGCGTGCTGTTTAAACTCTTGGGTTTATAACATTTTAACTAATGTCTAGGTATTCATTTTTCAAACGAAAATGTAATAAGTTACTGATTATTTTTAATTAATAAAATTATTTTTCTCGTTGTAATTTATTCAATTGTACCAAATACAATAAGCAGCGGTGACGTACGCGGCACATATAGTGAACACGGCATTTCAATAAACAGTGAAAAGCGCATAATCATTTTCATACGTGGATACTACATCTAAAAATCTAGACACTAAATGTTTTCTAATACAGATATATTTGAGTCTAAAAATAAGAATACATAACACAAATTTTTTTATACAATATCACTCTTTATTTTATTTAATATCAATCAATTTGACAATAATTCTACTATTTATCTTTAAGCGAGTAGTTTAACATAAACTATAGTAATATTATTGACGGTTTACGTGCGAGTACCAATGTCATAGCGATCTTTTTCTTGCTTAGTCTCCACTGCGAAACATATGTACAGAAGAATTTTATCGTTCCTCACAATCTATTCTTAAAAATGGATAACGATATATTTTTGTACTGCAGTGGATACTCACTGTTATAGCTAACATTCGGTAATAGTTCCTGCTATAAGCTATTCTGAATCGATCCATCCGACGAGAGTTACATCTTATCTAGCTATGTTCATCGGATGGGTCGGAATGGGTTATCATGCAAATCACTGAGCATACTATGGTTTATTAACGCTAAATTCATTCGGTACTATTAAAATTTCTAAAGGCATATATTTAAGGTCGAATTAAATGATAATATCTAAGCCGTCAAAAATATTAAATAGTTCGCTATCGTGATTTTTATTTTATTCCATAGACACATAATTACTAAGTATACTTAAATTTCGTTGTGCCAGAAATTTTCAATTTATTCCTAAAAGACGCGCGAAGGATAAATTAATAATTAAGCTAATTTACTTGGCACATTACATGCATGACGTGGTATATGGAAGATATAAACAGGTTATTTTCAATGATTTTTATTAGACGAAGAGCTTAAGATAGGGAATAAATATATACAATGGAAAGAGCAGGATATAGGGAAAGGAGATTTACCTGTATATAGGACATGTGTAACTAATAACAGATTTAGGAGATTTCATGGTAACAAATTTAAAAAATAACGGTTTAGGTACCATCAGAATAGAGTCTTGAGTAAATTTAATTTAGTTACTATAATTTTATTAGTCAATAAGGTTTCCTGAAGCGAACAGTGAACATCGAAACATTAAAGTCACCGCGATTTCGAATCTTCGAATATCTTAAGGGAATCTTACTGTCAGTCCGGAATCTACGGATATATTAGGATTTCTGACGATCTTAAACTTATAATTTTATTAAAGCAAAGGCATTATAAAGAACCGTTTGTATAGATGTAAGTTTATGGAAGACGTACGAAACGTGCCAAGCCCCTTGTTTACTAGAGTAAGGACTCGGCGGGCTTTCTTTATTATTTTACTAATATCATTAGTTAAATGAAATCTGTACATCTATTTTAATCTATTGCAGTAGGTATCGGGTAAATTATTTATCAAATAGTTATTAGGAAAAAAAATATCGTTTCGTTAATATTAATGTTAAACTTTAATTATTATATATTTACGTATGAGCGACTACTTATTATGCCGATACTATCTACAATGATTTTTTGAAGCCCGACCAAAAAGGGGGAAAGCCTAAAAGGATAGATGTACGAGTATATGTAGCAACTATTACCATTAAATACTTGTGGGATGCCCCACATTATGATGACGCAAACTTGTGTATGATACGCTAATATTATATTACTGAACACTAATTGTGATTTTACAAATATCAGAGACGTAAAATAACTCACTGCTACTAATAGAATATATATAAAATTGGGATCAAAATTATTATACAAGTATCAAAAGCAATCACTATGTGGTCACAGTATGTCAGTCTCGTAAACTTTATTCGTGGTGGGGATCGCGTCAGGCGTATTGTTCGACTGCGGGCTCACAACTTCAGGATCACTAATGTCATTTCTTTTTCTGTCGCTATCCGCAGCTAAGTGCGTCATGCTGCCAGATATGGTGGCTGGCGCAAGATTTAAATTCATTTTAGTAAGAAGATTTGACTCGCTACCAGTTTTTTTGAGCTCTAGTTGAACATTAGGTGGTATAGCAGGCCCGCTTCTGTGTATCATTTGTAAGCGGGCGTACTGCTCTTGAAGGGCTTTTTGTTTTTTTAGTAGCTCCTGGTGTCGTTGTTCAAGAACCGCCTGACGCGAATTACCCTTTTCGTCGTAATTTGACTCGTGATTTGAGCGACAGGAATCAGAATCAGCGCGAGGAGAGGATGGTGATGTGGGGGAGGCGAGAGGGGAGCGGGACGTCGTCCTGGGTGGCGGTGGCGGCGGAGCGCGCCGCGCGGCTAGGGCGAGTAGCTCTGGATGTCGTTCAGGAACCGGCGGCTTTGGTGGGTGCTGACCTCGGGCTCGGACCGGAGGCGAGGCGTCAGTGTCGCTGCCGCTCGGATACGAATGCAGCCGCCGCAGCGGGCCTTCGGTTCTCGCCGCGCGCTCCGACGGCTTAGCGAAGGTTTGCAGTTCATCTAATAGCGCGTCGAGGGCATTCTCTGGACGCACGTCTGTTGTTCCTCTGTTCGTTCCTGTTCGTATGGGGATGACGCCACCGGTGCCCTGTACATTATTTCATTACTTTTTTAGTTGTGATCAGTTGTCAAAGATTAATTATAAATGCGAAGTTGCAGAGTACGCACTAAGCAAATTTATTTAGATGCTAGTTACATAGCTACAGTAAAAAAATTCGTTACTGCAAATTCGCATTCTAGGAATATTTAAAAACATCAAACAAAAACATTTATAACAATCATACAAATAAATCCATTGATTGCACTCAGTATACCCACAATTATTTATGTACTAGTTTAAATGCTTCCACAATCATTCAAAAGAAAAATAGTAATGAAACGAAATACATAAAGGCATTTTTTGTAGCCAAACACTTTTTAGAAGTATTTCGATTGTTATTCCAACTAGATGTTTGTGAATTAAAAATTTATGAGAATAAAAAGGTTATTGTTATTTATCAAAGTAGCAGTTATTTGGCCACAAAAAATAGGAGGTGTAGTTGCCTATGATATGTGGTAAGTCAAACCGAAAGGTGACGTCATGGATAGAGGGTACAGGCGAACGCAAAAGATTGTAAGACGATACTTATAAAATACTTGAACATCTTCGAATTAATGTGATAAGAAAGACATGTATTTATTTAAATTTGGTGATACATAAAATGCAGAAAATACTTTTAGAAATTACGCTCTTAACAATTGTGACGACTTTGCCATTAGTCAAAATTTTAAATACGTGTTTAATGTGTTTTCAATTTCCACAACCTTCTACTATAATGATGCGTCTACTTGTATGTCGCTGCGGCAGCGATTAGTATCAACAACCAAAATAATACTGAAGCTCTCAAGTGACTTGCATTAACTACTAAGAAAGTTTCAACCGGTTATTATTATCCAATGTGCTCTTTTATATAGGAATCAATATTAATAAAATATATTGGAAGCAGTTATAGATTAAAGAAATAAGAACAATTTACCTGTGCTCCAGATGCTTGGGTTAGTCTATTTCATGTCACGATTTCAAGTAAATAAAGTGATATAAGGCATAGGATCGTAAAGGATGTATCATTTAATTTAATTTATAAAGTATTATATTATAAAAAGAAATGATTTAGTGAGAGACTAAAAGAGAAAGCGTGAACGACTACAGGCTTTAGGGAAATAACAAATATATAGAAATTAAGTAAAAGATAATGATAGAAATGGGATGAATTAAATAGGAATAGGGTCAGGAGTAGGTTATAGGAGTTTATTGTATTCCAGAAGTTCTAGATTGTGAACTGCTTCTTCTACTGATAATGTGCTGCAACAAAACAAAACAGCAAAATGCACAAACTATTAAGAAGCAATCATTTCATCGAATGCTACATGCACAAACGACATAGAAAAATTTATTTTATTCTAAATTTCCTCTAATACAATACTATACAACATTTAAACAGAAATAGCATCCATAAAACCATTGAAATCAACTAAGTATTTACTTTAAATTAAACATTTCTTTTTAAAAGTAATAAAGTGCAAGTTTTCTTTTTATAAATGCTATATCTCTTATAGCAAAGACTAACATATGTTAAACTTAAATCAAACCGTGGGTTACCACTTCCAGTTATAAGAAATCACATATACAAAAGTATATTCTCATCTCTGTTAGTCTCTATTACTATAATTTTTAATTGTGTTCCGGTAGTGAGAACACACGGTTATGTTCGTTTTATTAAATCCATGTAAAACGAGACATGCAACATGCGTTTTATGGTTCATACACACAGCTCGGTCCAGTCTGCATTTAATTTTACTTTAACAATAAAAAAAGCTGCGAATCGATCAACGGCCACGATATCTTTTGCACAACTTTCATCTTTGATTTAAAAATATATTAAAATAAACAAGGGATAAATGATAACTTTACAGTAGCTGAAAGTTGTGACGTATTGATTTAAAAATTAATTTGTGTCATTGACAGCAGCACTTGCTAATTGTGGGTTATCACTACCGAAAGTTATTCAAGAACATATTGTGCTCTCTTTCACTTGCTGTGACAAAGGTGAGATAACGATATGTTTCCGGGGACATTTACATACAGAGGTGTTTCGATAGTGTAAACTCACGGTAGAACTGTCGTATAGTTTAAAACCCATGGAATTCTTAAAAATAATTTAGGTTATGTTGTAGTAGTTGGTGAGTGCATTTTGCAATGACACATTAGTGTAATCCAATTTGTTGTCTTAAATAATATTGTAAATATAAGAAAGCATGCGTACCGATTCTTTCAATACAGTTAGAACTGGAAAAAATATTCAAAATTTAGTTTCTAATATCTTAAACACAAGTCGGAGTTTTTGAACCATAACTTTGCTAAAGCATCGTGTACCATTGTGCGACGACATGCCTAAATAAAGTTAGCGAATCGTGTCAATTTACATACAAATATATGAATAAAAGGTAAAACATAACAAAGAAAAATACGGACGGAATAAAACGTTGGAAAAATTATCAAAACGCTTTTTATATAATAATGATAAAATAATAATAATAATAATATAGATATATTACGAAGAGATTTATTACTCGTTAATAACTATGGCTTTCCGGAAGTTTTGGCTCTGTCTCCAGGCGAACTGACGGGTACCATGACGGAAAAAAAGACGATGAAATCCATCATTAAAACAACACGATAACACAACGCAAATATCATTTCACAATACATTAAGTAAAATGTTGATAACCAATGCAATATAGTCCACTAATCTACACAATAATGGCGATGCAATTCATCAATTGCAACTTTTTGCTATTCAATTTGTTTAATAAGAAACATTATATATCAACAACAGCGATGTTATATATTTTTTTTATTGAAATGCTGATTTTTTCGTCCGATATTAGTTAAACAGGTTACACAAATAATATGGAAAATTCTTTCACGTTATCTAAACAAACCTTTGACACCTTTGGCAGATTTTATTATTAAAATTGGCATTATTTTCCGGAAGCAAGGTATTTCATATTTACGACGTTTACGGACAGTGCAATGGTTGCAGGAAATGTGCAAAAGAATTTTAAATTTTGCTGTATTCTGTTAAGCTTTAATCATCACACTCTGATCAATAACAATTTAATTATTACAAAAAAAGCAATAAACACCAATAAAAATAGTTAACTGTTGATATAAAACTTTAGGTTAGAGTCACCAATTTCCAAATCATTGATTGCATATTAAACTGTATAAATATGAAAATGTAATAATTGATTTAAAATATGGAGTTATCTATGAAAATTACTTTAAAGTGCAATAAATTGTAAATACGGAGAAGAAATTTTAATAAATACTACAGAGCATGATGAAAACTTTGTGATCATATCTGTTTAAAATACGTTTAAATTTTGATGCCAATTCAGTTTTGTATGGACACGAAATTCATGGACATTCCTTTCGTGAATACACTTTAAATTTTGAGACCGATTCAACAACGTTCAGAATACAAAGGAAATTGTTAGTACAAACCATATCATATTAAAATTGTTATAGTCCAAAACAATTTCGTTTAATTAAAGAATTAGTCTAAATTAAATAATAAGCAACTACTCCTATTTATCTAGAACATGTGAAAAGGAGAGCATGTGACTAATTCTGACTTACGTAATAATAAAGAGGTGCACGCAATAATTGGAGTAAGAAAATCAAAAGGGACATGCATAGATAGTTGAAAAAGCAAAGAAATGTCTTGTTCTAAATTATATTCTATGTTCTTTATGTAAATGTAATAAGTAAAATATAAAAAGCCGTCAGTGTGACGGGGAGCAAAATATAAAACTTTACTCGACGCAAACAAAATTAAGTGTTGGAAAAAAATGCAAATTTTAAACTTTTGGCAAACCTGCAATTGTTAAGCGATAAACAGTATTAATCGATGGAAACGTCTGAAAATTATCTATAAAATGAAGATCTGCTTAATGCGTCTGTAAATAAAATACTCTGTGAATATTGTTAATTTTTCATATTTCATTGTTCAGAGGAAGAAAATTGTTTCATGTTTATAACTTGCAATAAAATTTAAATAAAAGTAGGAAACCGCTTTTCTTCCATTATAATTCAATTGACTACAGCTAAGATACGATTGCACTCTTTACCTTGTTGTGAGAAGTCGCAAGGTGGCAAGTATTTTCCGGTGCGAACTCTTCAGATGATGGTCCAGCTGTGAGTGAGGAGCTTTGGGAAGACCCTGGAGAAGTGCGGCCATCGTTGATTGGAAGACGCTGCTCTTGCACACAGGCCAATCTATTAAGACACGCAGAACAATTTTATTCAAAAAATATTTGACACATAAAAACACTCATAGATGAAAAACTTGAAGAATTGTTGTAAACCCTTAATTATACGGTAAAGAAAATTTCAAGAAGAAATCGGAGTAAGTTAAGGAGTGCCTTAAAGTTATTGGCATATTAAAAAGATATTAATAATGATGACGATAAGCATAAAAGTATATTCAAGTAAGCATTTCGTTAATACTACCTTTTAAGGGTAACCAAAGTGCCTGTCAATTTCTTACAACGACGTAAAGCAAGCTCAAGACGTTCTGGTTCATCCTCGAGCATTTTTTCTTTACGCACAACCTGATGAGACAAAAATTCGTATTAAATATGTAAGTTATGTATAAGTTTTCACATAATACTGCTACTTACTTTCTCCATCTCTGATGATAATTTAACTTTCATAGTTTCTTGTAGTATCGGGAATTTGAGTTTCCAATCAGCAACAGTCTTACTGCTCTTTGAGAGCACCATGGCAATACGCTCAATGTCTGCCATGTTCACGCGAGTTTCTCTACAATTGGAATGAAGCATATGAAATAGGCTAAATGTCTAATTTGAACTCAATTTGTTAACTCGAAGTTACCTGTTAGCTGCTTGACCACGAAGTCTCTCAACTGTTGCTTCAAGTTCATAAAGATCGTTCTCGAGAAGCAACATATCCTGTCTGTAAATTTCTTCCTCCCTTGTCAATTGCTAAAATAACATAAGCTATGAATGAACCACAAGCTAATGATGGGAGCGCTATAAGAATTATAACTATCAGTTATTAAATAACATATGAGTATGAATGTTACATACTGAATCGGGATCATGCTCGCAGAAACTGGCTGCAATAGCACCGATCTTGACAATGGTGTCGGCCATAAGTTGCCTCATTTGAATTGCCTGCGACAAAGTGGAGCGTCGCAGATTTCTTGTCTGTGAATTAAATCAAGACCTTCAATATCCAAAATGTTTGAACGTTAAAGACGAAGCTAGCGGATTCGCGAAGACAGTAACATAAATCGCATGAGCAGTAATCGCAAACTTTCGCAAAATCACGGTAACTCAAAACACTATTATGAAACTAACCTCGATTCTAAGATCGTGGCTTTGCTTTTGGAGCGTTCGCAACTGGTTGAAAAAGTCGGGACCAACATTCAACGTGTATGTTTTCTGCGGTGCCAATGGCACTTGCTGGCTAACAAGACCGGCCGGTTTTGGCGGAGGTGCCGGTTTCAATCGATCACGTTCTGTAATGCAAACAATATAATAAATGTCGGAAACTGATTTTTTTATCAACATCCAAGTAACACTAAATCAAGCTTTCTCTATAAGCGTGGAAATAACCGGTTATAAAGATCAGCAATAATATATAGTGTTTCCATCAAGCAACCATCAGCTCTCTATTCAGGGATAAAATCCGGTAATAAATGGATATTATGACTAATACAAATTAAATGGTTAAGAATTAGGAATAATAAATAAGTGTATTAGAAGTAATATTATAAATTGTAAACAATATATTTGCAGTTCAAGCTACATTAGAGATGATGCGCATTATGCCAGAAGCTTTGCCCTTCAATATATTATGTGTGTCCAAAATTTATCAAAAAAATACAATGGTTTACTAATTACCTTGTGAAGACGTCCTCGGCAAAGTGGATGATTTGATTGCCGGTTTAGCTGGTTTTGTATCAGCTTGTTATGGCAAAGAAGTAAGCGGAAAGAAATCAAATACAAGAATTATGAATATGGTTATGACCTTATCTACGATAATGTAAATGAATAAGTAAGAGCAAAACATTTTTCTGATCGCTGATCGCAACCATAGAAATAATGAATTTTTATAACAAGGAGATCGACTAGTTTGAGTTACAAGAAATCCATAAGATTGTATCTGAATATGTAAGTTTTGTTGAAATGTAATTGATAATTACCATACAAAAAATAACAGACGAATCAAGATCCTTCTCACTTTTGAAGTCGATTAAAATCAAATTGATTTCATAAATCCTACACTAAAATACATTTAATAAATATCATACTTTAATTTCTATAGACAACAAAGTAATAAATAGATAAAAAGTAGTTCGGTTTATATATTTTCTGTATTATAATTTGTTGTTTTATAAAACTATAGATTAATATACATATGTATAAAGGTCGTACTTTACAAGCCTTCACCAAGGAAACATTATTAATTATGTAGGATACCTACATACGTTTAGGAATTACCTACGTCTACAGGTTTTCAATAGCATTCTGGACGTATGTATCTTATAATCCACTGTCGTAACGGTATTCAAATATATTGTTTTCTCGGTATCTTTAAAGAGAGTGGGTACACAACATGTTTGTACACAACTGTTTCGACAGTGGAAAGTCGCTAGTAAGGTTTATGCATACCTGAGTGTTGTGGAGAATGTTGTTTAGGAGAGTTCATGTCTGGAGGATCATCACTAAAGGAAACGGATTTTTCAAACGAGACAGATTTTTCTGAAATAGTTAATATTTGTTAAATCATTTCAATATGTTAATATTAATATGACATGTAACACTCCATTAATAATTATATAAGTCCTTTGTGCTGTACCAAAAAATGTGCAATTCTGGATATTACCAAAAGTAGAATAAAGTGAGTTTTTGACAATTATCGGGGACATTTATGTGCTCATTTGTGTTACAGGCAAATATTGGACGTGGAAATGTAGAAAAGGAATACAAAACGATCACTTTACTTTTAAAACCCCTACTTTATAAAAATGCACAAGACGAAGTTGATTTATACATAGAACAAAGTTTGTTAAATATAATCTTATATATTACAATATAGCGAATGTATTTTGGATATCTCTACTTTCATAATTAAGAGTAAAACTTTACAATTATTTTGCGTACTTAAGAGATAATACTTAAAAATATATCATTAATTTATTTTCAAACTTTAATGCGATTTTATGTTAGTCGTGATTTTATTGTGTTTGAATTTGGTCTATTGTGTAAAATAAAAAGAATCATCGGTATAACAAACAAACAAAAGTAAAAAGTCAGTAACCATTGGTACATATTTATGTTAAAAACAGGAGCTCATTAAGATCGCTACTTACACTGTTCCGACATTTTCAACTGAATAGTCGTACTGTTCAGTTAAAACGTCTAGAACTGAGCGTCTGTAGCGGGCTTTGTAGCATTAACAGATGAAATTTTCAATACTATCACAAAGCAATATAAAACCAAATTTAAAACGCTTTCTCACAAAATCTACCATTTATATACAATAACAATAACTGTTAACACCTGTTGCATACATTTTATTTCTACGGAAACTTAAAAATCATTATATACTCAAATAACTTCTATACAAGACAATACTGTCTTAGCTACATAAAGGCATATTTCAGCAATATATGTCATTATGTTATTATGCTTACATGGATTTTTACTTAAATACGGACTTTTACAAATCAATTTTAAAATGTTGCAAATCAAATCGGGCATCAAATTTTATTTGCAAATCTCGTTTGAAGTGCAAAAGACTTTATAAGTAAAATATCTATTAACATTAGCTTTCGTAGCGATATTTCAATAAAGGCACAAATAAAATAAAAGAATGGAGTTTATTTTTATTTTAGTGGTCTTAGCTAAATTGTAATATAAAAGCGATAACCATACAAATGGAATCAGAACCGAATATTGACTGTACCATACAATGAAGCTGAAAGTTTACGATGTAGCAAGCAGGCGTTCAGCATGATCGTGGACATCGCTAAATGCATTGCCAATGTTATAAATACATTTTTATGCATAAAGCAAAATACAATTTCTCAAACGTAAAAATTTCTGAGAAATCAGATTAAAAAATCCATAACTTTTAATGTCAATTAAAAAAGACAGTTGAATAAAATTCAATAATCTTTATAAAAAAATAATTAATGTAAATTTTATATGGAACAAAAATCTGAAGAATTATGAAGTTTCATTTCAACAATGACTATAATTATCATCATTAAATTGAGACTATTCAATTCATTAGCAATGCATATGCGTTAGTTTCGAACGCGTTTATTCAAACTTACGAAATCTGTCTCTCCCTAATTTGGGAGGTCTCTCGTCGCTTGTGAATCTCACCGGATCTGAGTGCAGGAAAACGCAAGCCGTATTAACGAACTAAGCAATTGTGATTTAGCTGATAAGCTTTTAAGGAAATGTCACATTCTTAAAGGGATTATATCTTGTAGCTGGCGACTTATTTTATGTTCATAAAAAATCCACTAAACATTATTATCCTCCAAAGAACATCATTGGCTTTTAACTTCAAATTTTGATATTCATAATTCAATTTCAAAATATTGCAAATGAAACATCCGTATTTGTTTTGTAAATAGAAAGCCTGAATTTTATTTTTTCGCATCAAATTTGATTTGATGCAATTGAGATGTTAAAAATAGAATTCGATATTGAAGTTGCACAACCGTGAATGTCCGTTACTGATTGCGCGGTAAAATATTTTCCATTCATGTCTATCATGGAGAACAAGAGGAACAATGTTTTTTTTTCTAGTATTTCATGTATCATATATTGTAAGAATATTGTAATAAAATTTTGCTAGCATTGTTTTAAAGATCTTACCGGTGGTAGCCGGTCTAGGTTGGTAAGTCTGGAAATCCTGGCGAGGAGCCGCTGCCGGGGCTGGCGTGGGCCCGGGAACCTGCAGTGCTTTCTGCACCAAGCCAGTTAAATTCGCAAGCTGACGTTCCATTTTCTCTACACGTAAACGTTGCATGTCATCAACTTGTGTCGTCATCCTGAAATATCACATCTCATTCCAACAATCCCTTTTCATATAGACTAGTAAATTCTATCATTGAATTAAAATAAATGGTTAATTAATATTCGCAGTCAGCAACCGAATATCGCATCGCTATTTTATTGTGGCCACAATATAGCACAGCGTTAGTTGAAACATGTAAATAAAACATACATTATCAGTTATTATCTATTTTCAGCATACATACAAATTAAAGGTATTACTGCCAATTAAGACCATAAAATAGAGTTGCACTGACTTAACCCTTGTATGTTCTGTTATTACCTGGCATCCAATGGTGGTCGTGGCATTGGCCGCGGCGCTGTGGTTATGGCATTGACGCCATACAACTGATATGAATCGTCGATAATTACAGTATCACTGCAAATTGTTTATATCTTTTTAATTTTACTAACGTACTCAGTATAATATTACATACTTAAATAATTACTCGATATTGTGAGCCGCCATTAAGTTTGAATGGGGCTATACAAATACATAAAATCAATAAAATTAATTACAATACCTGGCCTCTTCATCGATAAGTGGTGTGATGTTAGGTCTTGCCGCTTGTCCTAAGAACTGTGTATAATAGGGGTCCTCATAAGGGGGGCGAGAGGCGCTGCGCTCGGGTGACGACACATACCCGTCCCCTGTAAGCCCTGAACTCGAATTAGCTCCTGAAATACGTATTAAGCATTCACTAACGAAATTACTAGCCCTGTATAATCATACCTTGCAGATTGTCTTGTGCACCTTTATGCATTCCTATCGAAGGTTACAGAAAATTACTTTGTACCTGCTTTACACTTTTAAATAGTCGGATATGTTTATTTCAATACTTTTATTTCCAAGGTTTTATATGCCAGAGTTAAAACAACATACATTAATGCAAAATGAAAGTGTTAAATTGTTGTTTTTATTTAATTATTATTTAAATAAATTATTTCGTAGGTATATTTTGGTAGTAAAAATAATTAAACATTAAAAAAGCATGCGATAATTCGAGTGCTGGTTATTCCTTGTGCCAATTGGTAAAAAAACAAAGTATAGTAGAAATTCTTTAAAACCAGAGACACTGATATAATTTTGGTATAAAGCAACGATAGCTATAACTTTTTTAACGAAGACCTCTGAATATAGGTAGAATTATAATACAAAATATTTTAATAAAACTGACAAATGGAAACAAAGAATTAAATATAGAAGTTTGTAAATATTGTACAGACATAAACACAGACATTAGCGGTAGTCGACAAAAAGCTTCGAGCAAATTAATTCTTAGAAGCAAAATGAAGTTTTGAACCCGATATTCGTACCAGTGATTGTGTAAAGCTGCTCTGTCACCCGAGGACAGTCGGCGAAGGGAAAACACCTCTCGGAACCTGTGCCGGGGGCGTATCGCAACGGCTTGGTCGGCACTGAGGGATATATATGTACATACAAATCTGTCTGTACTTATTGCAAACCCTAATTGGATCATTTGAACTAAGAATATCATATCGATATTGAAATTTCAAACTGTACAATCATTTATAAGGAGACGTTTTAATTAACAGAGAAGATATCGTATAACCGAAACATGGTACTAGCAATCAGTATTTTAATTCTTCTTTACATTAGCATTGGTACAATGAATGTATTGGTACAGTTGTTAATGCAATTTTACAATAAATTACAAGTTTACCGGTTGTTGGTATAGTCTTGACGCGGTCTGCGGGCACAGGCGGGGCGGCGGGTGAGAATGCCCGTATGATGGCACCACCTCGCGGCAGAGTGCTGGGTGCTGCAGTACCCATGTAGTATGCAGGCGCTTTGACCTGAACAAAAAAAATGTTCCTTGACAATGCAATCCACACTTTATAGAGTCTCCTAGTTTCGCACGAGACGCTATGCAAACCAACATTTTAGATATTGTCTGGATATAATACTTATAATCTCTAAAATAATGAATGATTTTAAAACATTATAGAAAGTGTATATGAAAGCAAGGAAACACTGCTCGCTGCGTAAATGAAAGACAAACAGGTTACTAAAAATATTTATTGTTTATGTTGGACTGTAGCTGTTGTGTTGTTTGTAACAGTCAACATCAGTGATGACAGTATGTCACAGGATTGGCATGATGTTCAAATGATAGCAGTTAAAACTTATAACACATAATTCCGTTTCATGATGACATAAATATGAATTTGCTAGGTGAAAATGTGATTAAAAAGACAAAAATTTATCTAATATAAGTGATTTGGAAAAAACAAGTCACTTTTATTTTAGCCTTGGAAACCCACGGTTATATCGTCTCTATGACTAGTGCATTTCGTAAATAACATTTTTCTAATAAGCTTTGCTCTTTATTGGGGAAATGATTAACCATTTTCATATCCTGCCTTTTACAAAGACTTAGATCATGTTTTATGTCACTACCGTCATTGTTAGCTTATTACTGCAAACAGTGTTGACTAGATGAGGCTCATTCCAAAGAACGTATGCAGAGCACGAAAAGTTGTTATAAGAAATGTTTGATTTATTTACAAACATTAAAACAACATCGACAGAGGAAGGAGAGACGAGCCAGTCGTTAATATTTCAGCAGACGATGAACACAAAACATCGGGGAAGTAAGCGCAAGTGAGTTAATAGGATTTTAATTATTCAGTTAGGATTACTATTTATTATTAGGTATTACAGATTAAGTAATTATTAGATCATAATCTGCAACAATTAAATGTACCAAAAGCATATATTATACATATACAGTAATAGAGGGGTAATTACTAACCAAACACTGAGTTGAAATAACTTGTTCTGGTAGATTTTTTAATTCCATTTTATTTTATTGTCGCATATAGCTCCTGTTTAATTGTTTTAATTTGTTTTAGAAATGAAATCGTTAGAAGAAATGTTTTGGTATTTATCGTTTACTCTATTGAATATTTTAACTTCGAGCTCCTGCATCAACAGACCTGTTTACAAAATTGTTCTCACACAGAAAGGTTTCTCGCAGGTTAGATTTCATTTTAAACGAACTATAAATATTGACTGAAACGTAGCCTTACTAAGAGTGAGCGACAGACGGGAAACTGTTACTAGTTATTATAATTTTGTGCAGTTAATGATTATAATCAAATATTTATATAAGAACATTTTTACATCTACAGATATGTACTAAATTTTTAACCTTTGTATCATTTCAGTTCATACAATATGATATCGACACTCCACCCATCAGAGAATTCACATTTTGTACCTGGATTCGATTATATGATTTAAACAACGAACAGGGCTTGTTCTCATATGTTGGTATGTATTTTAATAATATCAAAAAAAAAACTCAATCACAAAATATTATTCTATCGTCACAAAATATTATTTCATCAGTCTATCTCAATTTACGTAAATGGAACGAGAGGGGTGGAAATACTCATTGTTCAAGTATTTCAGCAGTGTAAAACTAAGCATAAGTTTGCAATAACGCTAACAAAATTAATATTTACATTTCGAATCGTAAGGGCGGTAATACACAAGCCAGTAGCTAGTTTAAGTGCATCGAAGATACTGATAACTACTACCTACAGGATTGTGTGAGCGCTGCCTAGCAAGCCATTATCTGAAAGTACAAATTGTCAAGCCAGTAACTGGCATGCAACTAGGTAGCACGTAATCTGGTTATGTGATTTTACGGTCATGCCAGTTGAGGGAGGGATCAAGGGGGTGTCCCTATCTTAACACGTCTCGTGAACTGTCATGCAAGCTACTGTTACATTTTACTGGCTTGTGTAATCCCGCTCTAAAGTAACATCTTCGAATCTCAAAACAATATACTAGCAATGGAAGCTTAAAGTAATATTTAGATTTTCTCGTTGAACGTCGAAATAACGGCGAGTTCTAAACTAATAAATTAGCATTTTGATGCAACTACTAGTAAAAACAAAAACATCTATAAAACTGTACCGATAACTGTTTAGTCTGCGTTTATTGTTGTGTAACATTTCGAAAAAGTAATGAAATATTATTTTTTTCTTATTCTTCTAATATCAGAAATGCGAAATTTAGATGGATGGACAGAAAATACAACCCAAACGGCTGAACGTATCTTGGCTACTAATCAAGTTTTTTTTTAACTAGCTACAAAAACTGCTAGTAAACGTATAATTTCAAAATAGTATAATAACAAGTCAAAAACATTGAATAAGTAATTTATACCATACATTTTGATATGCATATTAACAAGGTCACAATCGACCTTGATAAAACTAGTTGATTGAATTCACAGCCTTGTTAAAACTGTCACATGCCGATGTATCGAGGTAACATGGCCGATGGTTAAGCTTTCGAAAAAACAATAAAATGCATGTTACTTAAAGACCGCATAAGAATTTTACTGCTTAAAACGAAAACAGATTATTATTACTTGATTTTTTTAATAAGTCGATTTTTAAAGATAAATTATGCGGAGAGACAGTGATTACATAAACAAGAAAGTATTAAGATTTAATGTGGATAGCTAAAATGTAGAAGACCGAAGAAAGTATGGATAAATTGTGTGAAAAAGGATATGAATAATAAATGAGTGAATACAGATACGACTGGTGATAGAGACGTATGGAAGATCAGTCATATGCTGTGCCAACCCTACGTAGGGACAAGGGCGGGTTGATGCTGATGAAAGATACCATAAATATAATAGATAAAATTATATATTCTGTTTTATCAGAACCTGAGTTACATACCAAGTTAAGTCACTAGTTGGCGACAAATTTCCGTGATATTTCTCGGTCAAGCAAAAAGTTTCACCGCGTGAATACAAAATATGCGTAAATATTTGAAATTATAGATCACGAGTTTTCCTTTAACTTGAACCCCGACTGTGAAAGTTTACATTCAACTTATTTTTCTATGGCATATTGAAACTGAGCTTGCCGTTTACCGGACATCGGTGTGCCTTCGAACAATAATGGTATACCGACTAAAGGGATCAGCTTGTTAAAACCCATCGTGGCATTAAATATAGGCCTGCGTAAATTTCACGGAACATCGATTTTATTAGGGTGATAATTTTAGTTTACCAACCCTTTGTTTTTAATCATTTTATTATAACATATGATAGTACAAATAATAAAAATAATTAGAACAACAGCTAAAGTATAATGCAATTAAAAAAAACAGTCGATGAAGCAAATTGTACGGACGGACGTATCAACGTACGAGTATAGGCGTGGTTTACTTACGCAATCCTTATTTCCAATTTACAAGAAGTAATCGGTGTATTGAGGTAACATACATAATTAACTAGTACTCGTTTGGCTACTTCACGGCCTAGTTGATCTTTTTTCATCGTAACATTCTTACAGTCGACATAACACATGTAGACTTATAATAGACAGGAGTAAATCAATCAAATTTTAGCTAGTTTAATAGTTATGTAATTTGAAATGGTCTTATTACTGCATGCTTGATAAATATCGCTTTGACGGTGGCCTAAAGCTGTTATCCAGTATTAATAGAATGAGATTGCGTGTTCTCTTAACACAGCGAACATACTTTGTGGACACACATATTTGAAATGTTATTTTTTTATTTAAAATTTTGTACAAAACAGTACATACACCATTTAGCAATGACGTTCTATGTCTTAAAATTGTACGATGTATAATTTCTCATTTAATACATTCCAGTAAATGGCAATCGCGTTGTAAGGCTATGGTTGGATAATGGAGGGCACTATATGAAGGTTTCAATAAATGAGAGAACACCATCCATGATTTCTGTAGACATTGTTCGGGATTCCTGGAAACATATTTGTTTTTCTTACCAAGCAGACTACGGAGCCTGGGCTCTCTATATGGATGGCAGACTTATCAGTTGTGAAGCGTTACAAAGTGTAAGTTAAAAAAGTAAAATGGATTTTATAAGTAACCGATTTGTTCTCAAGTAATTGTTTTATAAAGTGTTTAATTACATGTATAAAGTATTTAATTACATAACTTTTTGGTTTTACAGCTCCATGGATTTGTTTTACCAGGTGGTGGTAGTGTAATAATTGGATATGGCACTAGCAATGGTAAACAAAGAGTTTCATTACCTTACCACTTTAAATTCAATAACAAAATATTAACCAATCAAATGTTTACAGCAATACCAAGCGGAATAGAAGGCGAAGTATTTGGTGTCAATATGATACTCAGTTCAACGATAGAGAGAAATCACACAGTAAAAAGGGACCCACTTTATGCACAAAAACGGTTCTTACAAAACAGAGTGTTTGGTAACAGAAATTTAAAATACATTGTCCTCAGTAAACTGGATTCTAAAGAAATAAAGAATAACTTCGAAACCAGCAAATTACCTCCGACGCCGAAAAAAGTACCAATTAATATAAAATTTAAATTTCCGTACAGTTTCAGTGAACATATTAATAATTTAGAAATGACATCGTTGCCTTCTATTTTTGTGAACACTGCTCCTAGTAAAGACATTTTCGATTTATCTATAACAGATACAACTGCATCCACGGATAAAACAAATTTTTGGAATATAGTCAATGAACACAAACCAGAACCTAAATATACTCTAAACCAAGTTCAGAACTCTATGGACACTTCAGATAACAGAGATACAGAAAATAAAACTGCTACTTTATCGATTTGGAATACCTTATCGCCTCCCAAAAAGAAACATGTTTTCTCGAAAACATTAAAATCTACGAAAGCAAATAGTAAACATTTTTATGAATTGAATGAGGATGGCAACAATGCAACTGCTACCACAGTTCATAATGAAAGCAAAGAATCATCAAAATCGCTAACATCATTCCCACCCG